ATCACCACAATTCGTGGGGAACGTGAACGAATGCGGCGTTGGCGAGCGGATTGAGATGGTTAGTGGCACAGGAGACGCAAGAAGACGATCTCGACGGTCTCGCGGACATCTACGTCCCCACCGATGGATGTCGACCCTCAAACTCAGCAGATCTTACTTGTCAAGTCTCTCCGGAGCATCACAATCCACGCCAATCCATCTGTCCTTCTCCTCCCACTCAGCTGTCTCATCCGCAATTCCCTATCAGCGCAATTTGACTGCATTTCTTGAATCTTGATCACCGTATCGTCGACTCGTTTCCATCGTCTCCGGGTACCTCTGCCCTGGTAATACCCACATCCTGTCAGCTGTTTTTCTTAAAGACGCTGGGAGGCACGCTCACAAGAACTTCGACTCTCTCTACATACCCTGTGATCCAGGAATTGACGTCCGTATGCCCCAAGTATGCCCTTTCAAAACCCAAGGAAGCGTCTTCCACCTGCAGCCATGGCTGCGGAAAGGTGTGTATACCTCGCCTCTGAACTGTCTTTCACGACGCAATCTATCGTGTAGCAGCTCAGCTCGTTTACAGTCGTCATTGAAGGTTCCGATTGGGCTCAGGCCTTACCAGTGAACTGTGCTGGGAGGTTGAGTTTTGTCGAGGCCTTCGATGCTCATAAGTGACAACGATGCTTGAAAGAGCGCTCACAGGCAAAGGGAGGGTCGTGGTCTTCACATCTTATCAACGTGAGGTCAGACGGCTTTTGATTCATCGGTTGACATCTTATTGTGGAGACTTCCCGAGTATAGCTCTCTTTGTTCCCACCATGGCGGTAGCTAACAAATCTATAGACCTGGTTATCGATATACACCTTTGACGGCTTTCTGCACGGCTTATGTGCCGTTCACCATGCATATTGGAGGCTCATCATCGTTGTGAAATACGCTGAGAGGCTAATATTGGAGTTGATGGTGCCAAACTTGCCGAACTGGTGAGCCCATCGTTGTCATCGTCATTCACGGCCCAACTCACCTTCTTTGACAGGCACAAGTTGACTTTTCATATTTGATTATATTGGATGCCAATAAACGCGACAGACCTGGACGCAGACTCTGACTCTGAAAGAACCCTTTCAACTTCCACCAAAAGAAACCTGCATGCGCCGCAGCCGTGTATTCAACCTCTTCCTCCCTCTCGGCCTTGCCGCTCTCTACCCCTACCTCTAAAACGCCACAAACTGGGCAAAAGCCAACAAATCATCACCAAACCTCCTCGACAACCCACCAACCACCACAAAAAACATAGTACCCTCCGACAAGAAACGATCATAGCGTCCTTCCTTACTAGCATCCGCAGCAGAGTCCATCAAATCTTCGACCCAATCGACTTGCATGGTTGTGTGCAAAACCACTTGAAGCTGAAAGGAGCCAAATTCGCCATTGCAAACGACATGAACGTCCCCTCCCCATTCAAGCCGCTCCCGTGTCTCTGACCCCAGCCCCCTAGGAGCCATGGCCCACCCGCCCTGCGCCGTAATCGTCAAAATATGACAGGGCCCGATTACTACTAGGACAACTTTTTGACGAGGAACAAACGGTGTTCCTCAAACACTCCGTTAGGCTGGGAACCCATTGGTGGCGGGAGGTCGATACGGAATGTGTGGGCAAAGTAGTGGATGACCAGTACAAGGGTCATGTTCCGAAGAATTGAAAGAGTTGCTAAGCGCAAAACAGCTTTTTTCACCGCCTGCATTATGATTCGCCGTGAATCCCGCCCTTTACCTTGTTTGGAATCCAGATGAGCTGGCCCGCGCTGCCAGTGCACGAGAACTCAGCGTTTTCAGTTGTTCAACCGTGTATTTATCTTTCGTAGATGAGATGGAATGAAGCTAACGCCGCATTCGACGTTAGGCCCAGTGGAGACCTTTTTTGGGTGATGTTGCACGTAACATGTAAAACTAAAAGGACAAACGTTTCGTCTGCAACAACTTGGCGCATTTTGACAAGTGACGTCCATGTGCAATTGCGAAATCTCGCTGAAAACCCTTGGAATTGACGGTGAATATGCGCAGGCATGTCTTGCACATATATATTACACATGCCCCAGTATTCTAATCTCAAGCAGACGAAAAGGAAGGTATAGTACTGCACTGACCCCAAACGCAACCTCAAAGCCGATATCCCCTGTCATTTTGGCGATTGGACCCGTGAACCACACCTGGCTCATACAAGGGATAACAAGTCCGAACGAAGCTATCCTAGCAGCAAGAGCAGCGATGCCCGAAAGCAACCTTCTTGGTGCGTCCCAATCATCAAGGTCATACTCTACTGGGTTGTTGTGTCGGATCAAAAGATGCTCCAGAATAATAATAGCGATGAACGCGCTGGCCCAGTACCCAATCAGCCCAAGGAAATTGGTGATCGTGTCATAGAACCTGTGTGCGCCTACAATCGATATTGGTATCACTCTTTAAAGAGAATGTGAGGAAGGTGATTGGAAGCACTTACATCGCTGTAGCAACTAGCGAGAATACATATCGAGGAACTACAACCAGGGGAGGAATAAAGATCTGGATGTTCAGTGATATTGAGTAAAATGTTCCTGCAATGTTGCCTGCCACTGAAAGACTCAGTAGCACTGCGAGGAACTTTCCGAATCCCATCAGGAAAAACTAAAACTCACAATTATGCACAATTCAGCTGGTTAAACGTGTTGTGCACAATTGTTGGTAAATTCTTCTCAATTCTTCTCAATCGAAAATGGGGATGTCGATTGTGCACAATCATTCATAAATTCCCATCAATTCTTCTCAATTGAAAAATCAGAATTTAGATTGTTCACGCTTGTCCTGGAAAGTACATTTACTTATCTGTTGAAATATATATATCCTTAGTTGGAGCCTTGGAGGTGTATGAGTCTGTCAATTCAATCGATTCTATTACTAACATTTTGAGGTTCTATATAAATTAACTACAGAGACACAGAAACAGGGGAGTGTTGTCAATAGCGGTGGAGGACACGCAGCGTCTTAATCATATCAATGACGACGGATAGCAGCGCGCAGCGTGCTCCAATCTTGTTCAATTCTATACTGCGTCTCAACGCTCTGGCTGTAGGCTCGTGTCGACAGCGGAATACGCAGTGGGTTCCCAAGCCCCATTGACGACAATGGGTGTAAGCGTTGTCGATGGCTGCATCATCAGCGCTGTATCTGGAGCACCAACGGCAGTGAAGAAAGTGGCAGATGGACCGCGGAAACGGCAGCAGCAGAGGTGGACGTCGTGGGGAAGCATCACAACTGCGGGCAGGGCACGTTCGTAAAGATGGGGCAGCAAAGTGCACCCGCAATATTATAGGTAGTGGGGTGGTCAGCATTATGAGTTGGGCGCAATGGGTTGGGGTACTCATCTTCATTGCAGTCCTCACCATCGGCTCGCAATGGGTACTCCCTTTCTCGTCATGATGTTGCGTTGATACTGATACCGTTTCCACGGTGCTCGCAATGCTGGTAGTGCCCATTGATCTCGAGATTTGGTGGACACGTCCTATTCATGACGGTGTTTGTCAGGACGCGTGGGTGGTCATGGTTATGGAATGTATAGGGAGTGGTGGTTGCGGAACACAGTAGAAAAAATGTGCAAGTCAGTTCAAAGTCAGTTCAAGCTCCGATACACGTGACATTTTGTTGAAAAATCTACAACTTCGCTTTCTACTCCCCCCTCCCACCACCATCGCCATCAGAGTCACCACTCTTTGTGACTGCTGCCTTGCATCGTCAGCGCAACAACATCTAGGGCCATGTCAGCTTAACGAGCGTCGACGGCGCATGGAGAAGATGACGTGGCACGTCCGCGTCAATGCTTCCCTCCCAATGTGCCAAGTCGTCCACACAGCAATGACGCATACCGTCATTGCCATCCACAATAGCGCAGGTGAACACATCACATAGTAAGCCTTACATTCCCCCGTCTTTCTCCTCCGCTAATTGCTACAAACTGCCCAGCCGCCATCGTAATGCCCGCCAACCACCGCCACGTCACTGCGTGAGCACATCACGTCGTAAGCCATACAGTCCCCCGTCTTTCTACTTGCTCATTGCCACAAACTGTCCAGCAGCCATCGTAACGCCCGCCGACCACCGCCAAGTCACCGCCTTGCCTCTCTCATTCATGGGCGATGACGACGCGATATGAAGATGATGACAACGGCCATAACGTAATTAAAACTCTGGAAGTCGAGGTATGTATTCATCTGCCTTTCCCTCGTAACCCTGCCTGACACGACGAAAGCTAGGTGATCAAAAGGCACCTCCAGGTATGATCAACGACATCACCTTGCCCTACACGCTGTTCTCCAGCACTGCAGATGAGATGAAGGGGCTGGGAGATGGTGTCAGTGACGGTCGATCAAGGCCAAAGAGGAGTGGGATGCATTTGAGATGAGAATGGAGGAAGGGGGGTGAGGCAGTTATGAAGGAACTCGCTAGCATTTCGAACCAGAGATTCTTTCGGCTTTTGTTTCACGTACTTAGTCTATAATGTATAGTCAGTTGCCATGCAATACAATTCATCAACCTGAACTCTCGTTTGTTGTGTTTGATTGTGTGAAAAAGAGGATCTATTCAATGGTACAATATGCAAAATGAACGGCCAATTGCGCGCTAATTAAGCACAATTAAACGGTGCCCGTTTTATTTTACTCAATCTTGTCAATTCTCTTAAAAGTTTCAATCCCGTCATTTGTGCGTAATTTACGGTCAATTCTGTATAAATCATATAAATCATGGTTAATTCAGAGTCTGAGGATTTCCTGATGCCTCCGGTAGGGCGGACCATGCCTCCAAGAGACCGCCGATGTTTCCACCTGCATATCCCTGTTCCCAAGCGGGTATGGAAGGAGTCGCAATAACTACTGCAGCACCAA